ATTTTGTATTTTGTCCCTAATATTTCAGGCAGGGTCAAAGCTACAACGGTGCTGACACCAGAAAACCATTCTATGACATCTTACCTTTACAGACGTACCAAAAGTTTCTTCTTAAATCTAATAGCTTTGAGGCTATAAGTTATTTACTTTTGTGTGTTTTTGTCAGGCAGAAATTTATTTATACCCCATTAGGGTGTAAGAGGTTAGCTAATATCATCTGCCAGGGTGTTTACAACAGAGAACTAGTGTAGTGGCACCTCAAATTGTGGTGGTTTTAGCAGCAGGTGGATCTGGTGTGATAAACCTGGGGGCTGGTTAACCTTTCATGACCTCTAGAAACATTTCCTTATATCTTTGAAATGATATAACGGAAATGTTTGCTGCCCAAACCAGAACAAAAGTAGCACAAACGTTTGACACCGATTTAGTCTGATTTTAATAAGGGGGGAGGTCAATTTTCACTCAGGTTTCAGGTCCTGGTTCCTGGCGGCCAGCGTATTGAGGTTTTTTTTGTGTTTGTCCAGTCCTTTGATCGTGTTCTGGTCCTTCTCCATGGAGCACTCAGGCTTTTGGCTCAGTACAAGAGGGTCAGTTTTATCCCCATAAGCCTGGATCCTAGGAGGAGACCAGTTTAACGCTTCCTCGAGAAATTCCGGTACAATGTCTTGTCTCTATTCTCTCAACCACTGAGCCTTCCAGTCTGCATCAGAGCCTCCCTGTCTGCCTCTGTGCATGTTTGTCTGGACCAGTCTCACTCTGGACTCGGAACCTGCCTGAATGCTCTAAAGATTCCTGGAAGCCTGTATCCTTCGGTTCCTTTTTGTATCGGAACTTCGGATCAGCTGTGGACTCTTGGATTCCTAGACTGTTCCGGCCTGCTCTGTTTTCCTCTGACCTGAATTGGCCTCCTGTATGTTCTCCGGAGCTCCGGTTGGAACGCACCTTTCTAAGGAGATGCAATGAACTATTAAACCAGGTAAGTGTCTCACTAAGATAATAATCTCCTGTTAGATGATCGTGGTCACTTACCTGTGTTTCTTTCCCCAGAGTGTCAGTGATTGGGCGGTGTCCCGTCCCCGTCCTGCAGCCGCAGCAAGCCGCAGATCCACAGCACCCCGCTTCTGTTCTGTTTCACTTCTGTTTTTTTTTTTTATGCTTTATGTTTAAACCTCCTGACTGTCTCATCTTGAATACTTGGACCATCTTTCCCGTTTTAAGAAAAAAAGTAAGACAGATCATTGGCTGCAGCTGGCATGAGTAAAAAAAACTCAGATTAAAATGAGACAGAATGATTGAAAACTCCTTGCAAGGAGCTAATCTGGTACGGTGATTCTCCAGGGATCAGCAAGGGTTCATCTTAAGATGTTTTTAGCATTGATCAGCCTTTAGTTCGCAAGATAGTTAGTTATTGTAAGTAGAGTTATAAGTTGTTTTGCTGTTTTATGGTTGTGATTTATTAGCATAGACTTCTAGGTTTATATCTACTTTTCTACCACTCAGATTGGATGATTCCTAATTATAAAAAATAAGAGGCAGTAAAAGGAAAACTGAATGAGTCAAAATCTTCATGATCTGAGAACGATGGAGGAGGAGATATTCACCTGTTTAATGTTCATTTATTAAGTTGTTTTTATTTGTACCTCAAATTATTGTGGTGATTAGCCTTTTAGTATTTTATCCGATGCGATAACGACAATAAAAACAATGATAATATTAATAATAATAATCACCATCATAACAACCATAATATGTCTTAGATTATGTGTGTTTGGAAGGGATTTTGATTGTATTATCTCCCTGTTTTAGATTAGTATAAGATTGATAGAAGAGGAGAGGAAGAAGATTAGAAGAATGAATGAGAGTGGAGGAAAATAGGAAGAGTGATGGAAAGAACATTTGAAGAAAAGGGAGAAAAATCTACTTAGAAGATTAAAACAAAAAGCAGGCAGAAGTCAGCTTAGGGCTGCCGCCAGGAATTTGGGGCTCCATGAAAGAAACTGATATAGCCCCCCCAAAGGGAAAAAATAAAAAAAGATGCAATAAAGATGCGTTGATGAGTACAATTTACAGTTTCAATGTAATTTTTATTGTAAAATAAAAAAAAAAGAAGAAATGATTGGAACGTGAAAAAGTTAACATTAAACTTTACATGTACATCCTTTACAAATAACAGCTTACGTAAAACACAAAAGCACAGCTGTATATACATACTGTAGATAGAAAATAGGGTTAGAATTCTGAAAATATATTCCTATTAGGTTTCACTATAAATTTATTAAAGGACAGATTATTTTTAGGCTGGCCCTGAGAGCTTATTTTTCTATATCAATCTATACGTGAAATGACAAAAATTTATTTTTGGTGTGACTGCTTTAAGCTGCTCATGAGAATGATCCAGAATTATATTATTGTTTAATGGTTGTAATTTAATCTGAATATAAAAAGCTAACTAAACTTTTTTAATATCAACAAAGGCTGCTGGATGGTACCCAATGCACTTCAGCTGTCCAGGATACAGTATAGGCCAGCTTGAGGCCCTTTTTATTTTATGGTGAACAATACAAAAAAATGTATTTATATATTTTTTTAAATTTTTATTTATATGATTTTTTTATTTTTTTTTTTATGGAAAAAGAGGGAAATTCTCACAGACTCTATTGATGCGAACTGGCCTGTCCCTGAAGACAATGTTATGTTGTTCACAAGGGAAGAAGACAGAGAAGACTGAATGACCAGATGGCACTAATAAACACAATCCATTGATTCATTTAATTAATCTGAGGAAATAGAAGTTGTGCATTACTGGATTTCACACTTGATTTTTGTTGTTTAAATATTCGTAAAAATTTGAATATGGATGAAAGCATCACTATCCCTGTTTTCTATTTTAATTTTCATGAAATGCATTCATTTTTATTTAAGAACTGGAAATGTCCCCAGATTAGATTGCAAAAATCTGGTCACCTTAATTAAAGGTAAGAACCTTAATAAATGTAATTATTTTAAAAAGAAGCTTTGCATATTTGTGTGCGCGCACTGATCGTAGTTTCTCTTCTTGACACAAAAAGAGGAGTAGTCTACGTGGTTTTGAATCCATCTGTAAACATGTTGGCACGTTATGTGATGTGTCACATGACACTCACTGGATCTGACATGGCTGCGGTGGCTGGGTCACAGTGCTTTACAGAGAACAACTCTGGGCTGATTGTTGCTGATTTGACATGTAGTGTTGAATCAAGTTGTGCTGAAGTGTGTTCATGTTCACACAGTAAATGAAACAATATATTAATTGATATATTAATTGTGTGATGTGTGTAATTTTTTAATAGATGTTTGGGCTGGAAAATCTCGATTGTATCTGGTAACGCTGCTGAACAAGATATTACGTTTTCTGATAAGTTTTAAGTAACGTTTTTACGTAGCAACGGTATTAGTAAAAAAAATTTTATATAACATATTACTATCAAACCTAAACTTATCAAATTCGGTTATCAAACAAAACAACAAACATACGTTTGTTGTATGCCTCTCTTTCAAGTTTCCCCATTTCAAAACTTAAAAAACTTAAATGTCATCCCGCTTCTCAGTCTCGCTTTATGCCACAATCCTTTTTAATGCAGAATTAACTGAGAAGTGAAAGTAATAACAGTGATGGTTAATACTTTGAAGGTAAGCTGGTCATGTTTGTTAGATATCCTTTGTTACACTTTATTCCTTATTTAATGCAGAGTTAACTTGAAAAGTGAAGATAACATTGACTCCTACAGCTATTAGGCCTACTTACACTGCAAAATGATCTAGAAATAAGTAAAACTTTCTTAAAATAAGTGTATTCACCCTTAATTTGAGTAGGTAAATGAGATGGAATGAGTAGTTTTACTCTTAAAATAAGATAAATAAGCACTTGAAATAAGACAAAGCAATTGTTTTTTTCTTATTTTAAATATAAATTATCTTGTTCCATTGGCAAAGTGTATCATTTATCTAATCAATTCAAGAAAAAAAAACACACTTATTTTAAGAAAAAGGACTTATCTAGATTTCGATTTTTTTCCAGTGTAGCAGGTAAGCTGGCGATAACTGTCAGATATCCTTTGTTGGATTTGTTTTAATGCTAATCTCTGTGAAATATAAAGCTTAATATTGAGTCTTGACTTTTGCTAACTTACAGGAAGTTGTCAGCTTGGTATATACTCATTGATGCGTTCAGGGCGTGGGAAATTGGCAGTATTGTGGTTTCAATAAGAGCCTGTCTACGTAAATTGAGCCACAAATAGTGTCACCTATATTTCAATTCAGTTTAGTTTATTCATTTAGCGCCAACTCACAACACATGTCATCTCAATGCACTTTACAATTCACAGGTTCATACAGACAAATTGTTTTTTCTATCAAGGGAAAACCAGTTGATTGCATCGACTCATTGACTTGAATGCAATCCCTCACACTATACATGCTTGTTGTGACAGTGAAGAGAAAAAACTCCCTATAACAGGGATTTATTTGTATTTGTTCAAGTAGTTTGACTCATTGCTTATGTACATTTGCAGTATTGATAAGGGAGCCTAAATTGGATGTATTTAAAATCACAAAAGTCAAAATGCAAGGCTAAATTAGTTCTCTATGGTTACTGTTACTGTTTGTGAGGCTCCTGTGTTTTATGTTGGAATTCTGTTCAGAGGCTGGAAAAAAAACTAACTACTGTTATAAATTTAGGGATATTAAATGTTACAACAGACTAGTTGTCTTCATTAGATTTACCATAATATAGACAATGCAAAAACAAAACAAGCAAAAAAAAACAAAAAAATAATTACTTACTAAAAAGATATTTAAGGGGGTGTCCCTGCATGCAGAATAATACTCATTGCTGTTTTGTAATTGTATCCATCAGATAAGAGCAGTTCATTTAGAGACAGCAGTTAGAGTTTGAAAAGGAAAGTAGCAAGATCAGTGAAGCATTTTAGTCATTCAGACGCAGAGGTGGGGAAACTGTGGTTTTAGCTTCAGCTCAATCTGCTTAGAGATTTTTTTTTTCCTCTCAGATTTTCTTTGATGTAAAACTGCATTTTGACTGAAAGCTGTCTTAACCAGCAGCTGTTTCAGCACCTGGAGTATAATTTTTTACTTACCTTTTGAATCAACACCCTTTGACATCGAGGATCAAAATTAATTAACAAGGTATGTCTTTTAAAATAATGAAACTCCATTAAAAAAAAAAAAAATCTGTTTAGACTCTTTAATTTTCAAATAAAGATTGCTGTTTGTACTGCCACAATAAACGAAAGAAAATTAAGGTTAACTGAAGTTAAAGAGTTATATTTAATTAAAATACTTTTTATTTGATAAGTGGTTATTTAGGTAAACATGTCTGACTAAGTCAATAATTTTGTCAGTTTGAAGTGTTAACACTTTAATGGGATTACATTTTATAAATCAATTATGTTTTGCTTTGCCTGAAAATTAAACCTATGGAAAACTGTAAGAGAAAAAACAAAATGAAAGTAGGAACCGAAGTCAAACTGGAAGCTTTATCAAAATACAAACACTTGAAGAACCTTAACTTATCAAACTCTGTTATCAAACAAAAAATTGTGTATATGTGCATATATGTATGTATATCTGTGGCTCTTTTTCAGTCTTCTTAGTAAAGACTGAAAGCAAGATAAATGTCTTCCCTTTTCTCAGTCATGCATTTATGCCACAATCCTTTTTTTAATGCAGAATTTACTGAGAAGTGGAAGTCCTGAAATCAGAGATGTTCCATCTTATCATGTCGCTTCCCAAAAACATGAATAAGAATGTATATACAAACACACACATACACATATATGTATATATCAATATATGTATGTATAAACGGATACACATAAATATATGTTGTTACATAGTAAATTGCAGAAAATATTAATATTTTCATTTATGATTGAACTTTAAAATAGCCTGGCTGCAGAATGTTTTAATTTAATGAATTTGAACCACAACAAAGGATTTTCAATATCATGCAAAGGGATCCTTGATTCTTACGCAACTTATCCTAGCTGTTAAAAGTCTACAAACCTATCATTTGGGGATGTAAAAAAACAAACAAAAAAACATCATGCATAATTTCAAGGCTTTTTTAATCCCCTAAATGATCTCATTCTCTTAGAAGGTGTAATAAAAATCTGGTTGCATAGTTGTGCACAAACTGATATTGACATGCTTTTGAAGAACTTCCTGTTTAAATTTCTGTTGAAAAGCTTTTAGTCTCTAATTTGAACATAAATAATTTGTTACCGGATTTACTACCAATAAAGTTAGACATTACCAGTTGATTATTTTCTGCCATTAGCAAACTGTCCATCTTTAATTAAATACATTAATTGCAGATAAATAATAAAGCATCTTAAAAACTATATATTAATTAGAGAAAAATTACAAATACATCCTAAGAATTATACAGTACTCAATAATTAGAACATGGGATAAGTGTGGCGGAGAGGGAAGACTGCAGCAATACAGACAAATGTATGCCCAGTAAAAGTTGTTCTTTACACTCAACAACTACTGAGCCACCAGCAACCAGAGGTGGGTAGAATATCCAACCACTTAAATGTCTTCCTTTTTCTCAGTCATGCTTTATGCCACAATCCTTTTTAGTGCAGAATTAAATGAGAAGTGAAAGACCTGAAATTAGAGATGTTTCATCTTATCAAGTCTCTTCCCCAAACATGCATAAAGTATGCATACACACACCAACATATATTCACATGCCACATGCACATAAAACTAATTAATAGCATTTTCATTAAAGACTAAACTGTGCAATATTCCGGCAGCAGAATGTTTCAATTTAGTGAATTTTAGCCACATCAAACGATTTTCTATATCATGCAAAGGGATCCTTCATTGTGGCCTGAGTTTTAGTAGCTGTGAACAGTCTGCAAACCCCTACTTTTGGGATGTTAAAAATATAAATCCAGAATACGTACTTGCAGAACTTTGGAATCTTTAAATGAACTATATAGAAGTAAAAAAAATGTTAATTCAAAATAAAAAAAACAACAACAAAGAAATCCTTTAAAAGATATGGAAAATAACAAAAGCTAAAAAAAAACTGGTTGCATTGTTGTGCTAAACTGAGATTTGATCAGTTATTACTTGATAAAAAAAGGTACTCAAGTACAAAGTACTTGCTGGACTAACACATGTATTAAATAATGATTTATTTTTCAGAAAGCACGCCGTTAGACAGACTTTTTTTGGCTGTGTTTGTCCTGTTTTGCCTACATAGCTCTGGGAATAGATGTCCCAGAGCTTGATCATAGCCCAACATATTTGCTTTCACACAAGCTAAAACAAGACAACAGAAAACCAAAGTAAACCTCAAAAAAGTTTCAAAAGCAGCAGGTATGCCTTATATTTTCATGTGTGTGTGGAAGGCAAAACCTATGGCGATTATACACTATTATTCAGGGTGGTATATATCTGCAGCTGCTGCTTAATATTCAGTATTAGTGAGTATCTGTGAGTATCTCCTTCTTCAGAAGGAAAATCTCTGAACGCTCAAGTATAATTAATTAGTTCTGTACAATAAAAATATTTCTAAAAGTACATATTTTGAAGATATTACTCAAATAAATGTAATTATGTGATTATAAATTTAGTAAACAGACACAAACATTTCTATTGTGTAACTTCATTCTTCACCTTTAAAACCTGTGCTAGAAGCATGCCAATATTTAAAGAGAAGAAAAAAATCATTATTAAAATAAAACAATGTTATTAAAAGATAAATAGATTGATTAAAATCAGAGAAAAAATGGACTGAAAATGTAATTCATAATTATGGTTAGAAAACGCCTTAAAGGCCACTCTAAACAAATAAACAAATATGTTTTTTATGTCGATTTAAAGCAACTCAGAGTTTCAGTGCTTTTATAGTCCGGGATTTTTTTTTCTCCAAATTATAAAAGCATAAGACCTAAAAGCTGCTTTTATTCGGTTCTAGGTGTACAAAGTAGATTTGAGCCAGAAGACCTGTGAGGTCTGAATGGTTAACACACTGATAGCAAGTATTTTTGGAGCTAAGGCTTTTAGCGCTTAAAGCTTCCAGTTGGAAGCTAAAAACTTCATCAATCCACTTAAATTTGTTTCTAAGCTTGAAGACGTTTCGCTTCCCATCCAGGAAGCTTTTTCAATTCAAAATGTTTGTAAAAAGCTTCCTGGATAGGACACAAAAAATCTTCAAACTTGGAAACCAAGTCTATTGGATTGTTTAATTTTCATTGTCAATTCATTTCATTCATTTTTCTACCAAATTGAATTCATTTCATTTCATTGTCTATTCTCAAAGAGACAGGAACCCAGTGGAAGTACTGTAAAACTGGGGTAATGTGCTCCATTCTCTTATTTCTAGTGAGGATGTGGGCAGCAGGATTCTGGATCAAATGTCTGATCAACTTGTTATTCAGGCCTGTAAAGACACCATTGCAGTAATGTATATAACTAACGTTTAGCACTTTAAGTAGTTTTTTAAGGCCTTGCTGAATATTGGTCCTTTAATTCTGAAAATATCCTTTATTTGATAGAAGGTGGACAAAAACATACACTGGTAACAGCTTACTTAGTAGGTTTCATGTTATTTATTTCCATTTGTTTGTTAATCAACAGAATTTATCATGATCTTCTCCTATCATTTAGATATTTTTTTGTTATTTTTATTTTAAAAAGGTTTAGAGAAATACATTGTACATATATCAATAGAAACTATATCAAATTTAAAGGAGCAGAAGAAGAAAAACACAAAAAATCATTGCAAAGCCATGTCAGCACTTTCCATATTTCAACATTGGATGTTTTTACACTTATCAAAAAATTTTTTCTTGTGAAAGAGCTTTATTTTCACAGTAGAACTGAAAACTTTTATCTCAAGTTATTGATCTACCTACACAACACACTTCTTTTTGGTAAACTTACCGTAAAGTGTTGGAGATCCTTTCTGATAACCTTTGTTATCTTTTCTGAGATCAGAAAAAGCGCAGAATGAGGCGACCTGCTGCCTACATTTGTGTGCAGTTCTGTGTCTTATTGGCCCAAAATTGGGTCATTGACAGAGAAAAAATGAGGCCAACTAGGGTGTTGGTGCGCTATTATAAGGTAAACTGATGAAAAAGAACAGATAAAATTTTAGCAAATACGTGTGGCTTCAGTCAAACAATCCTGTTTGATCTCTGTGCAACCCTACTAGATTCTTTCCTTTTTTTCTGGGGAATTTGAACTCATTTTGCCTTTGCTATTTTCACCTCTGAAGAATTTTAAAACTTAATAATTAATTTGTATGGTGAATTTTTAGATTACTGCTACAGGTTCAAAGTAGCTGAATACTTTCTGCTAAACTAATACTTTCTACTAAAAAGTCTATATGGAAAGGCTAAAAGATCATATACATATTTACCTCAGCATCATCTGTCAATTTGAACATGAAAAGTAAAAGTAAAACGATTGATTCCTTCATGATTTATAACATATTGTCAGGTTAGTGCATTTAATGGCCCAAAACAGTCTTTAACATCTTTTCTCTATTATTAGCCTGTATTTAGCTTTATCCATATTCACATCAGCTCAAATAACTTTTCTTGTGCTTACAAAAGCAAATCATCTCCAGAGATTAGTGGAGCGACCACTTTGCATCATTACGGCTATGGTGTGATCAGACATATATGCATCCATAGTTTTGTTGCCAAAATAGAAGAAATGTAGTTCAAAAACTGTAGTTTTGTTCTAGAACACGTTCTTGGACATGTTTGTTTTGCCCCACATATGTCTTGTGGCAAACTTTAACCTAGATTTCTTGTGGTTCTACTTCACCAGCAGTGCTCCTCTTGCCATTTTTACATACTGCCTGTATTGGTGTGATGTATAAAATTTGCTTTTCAGCTCAGCTGTTGATTTCTGCAGCTCCTCCAGAGTCACCATGGGCAGTTTCTCCGGTTAATGGACTGTCTTTGGATGTATGAAGACGACCAATGTCTTGATTTATAGATCTTCCAAACTTTTGCTACATGATTGGAGATCATATAGTTTATAGTATGATATTTCCTGCTTTAGTTACTGTTTATAAACCTATTTAGCTTTATACTTCACAACTGAAGGCTTGGCATGTCTTGTCTGCTAACAGAGACGTCAAATACTTATGATTATTACTGAAGTAGAGGCATAAATCCTACTGTTTAAAAACACTCTTGTAGATGTTAAAGTGTCAGCTTTTTACTCAATAATACTGTAAAAGTACCATTTTTAAAACTACTTAAAGTATAAAATTAAAAGTAATGAATCGTACCCTATTTAAGAAACCTTTTTCAACAATTCTGGATGATAACTTCCTTTTGCCTAATTTTCTTAGTTTTATAACTAATGGCAAGAGTGTGAAATTTAACTTTACGGTATCTTAAAAAAGCATTTATGGGTGTGCAGGTGGTGCAGTGGTTAGCACGCACAACCTATGTACGGAGGCCGACCCGGGAGAACTCCAAAAAATGAAAAGCATTTATTTTGGTATTTGGTGAACAAAAATTTGATGCAGTACAGAGTCCAACCACAAAGAAATTAATAGTCTAGATGAAACAAGTTATTTTGACTTTTATTTTTTTTTCTGACACCAACAACCCATAACAAAAATGTCCTTAAAAGTGCATCTATAAAACAAGTCTGTTTTTAAAATGAAAAAAATAAAAAAATAAAAATTACATTCTTACTCAACTTACATATTGTGCATAATATTTGAGAAGTATATAGAACCTGGTTACAAATATCATGAAATAACTTTCTGTTTGTAGATACAGTTTTAACAAAGGGGGAAACATAAAGGTGTTGGATACAAATCTTAATCCTTAGGGTTATATTTGTAAAAAGATTGAAAATCATGTCCTTTCCCTTCCCTTTAACATTATGTACTACTTTATGTTGGTTTCTAACTTACAATTTGAGTAAAATACACAGTGTCTAATTCATTTTGCAGGCCCCTATTCATAGCCAAACATCTTTAACATGTGGAATTCTTATTTTTGACCTCTTCAGATTGAAAATATGGATAATATTACTGCAGAAGATTATGTCACCTGGGCAGCCAACGATTCCGATGAGCTCTGCAGCCTCAACCCTACGCCTGCAGAGACAATCTCCCAAACCAGCATCCACTCCGTCATCTGCGCCCTCGGCCTGATCGGCAACGTTCTGGTGATGATCACTTATGGTTTCTACAAGAAGACCAAGACCATGACAGATGTTTATTTGTTCAACGTGGCTGTGGCAGACCTGATCTTTGTGGTGGCTTTGCCTTTAATTGCATATAATGAGCAGTACGAGTGGCCCATGGGTTCTGTGGCTTGTAAGATGCTTCGCTCAGCCTACAGCATCAACCTGTATAGCGGCATGCTGCTCCTCGCCTGCATTAGTGGGGATCGATACATCGCCATCGTGAAGGCCAGGCGCTCCTTCGGCTCTCGATCCCATGCTGTCACATACAGTCGCCTGATCTGCTCAGTAGTTTGGGTGTTTGCACTGGTTTTAACTCTACCTACAGTTATCTACACTGAGCTCTTTGAAGAAGAGGATCTGATGCAGCAGACCTCCACTGTGACATGTACCCTGTCTTTCAAAGACACAAAGACAGCAAGGCTAATGAAGGTGATGGTGCCAAGCCTGCAGATGGGGGTTGGTTTCCTTTTGCCTCTGTTGGTGATGGTTTTTTGCTACTCATGCATCTTGTGCACCTTACTGAGAGCCAAGAACAACCAGAGGCACAAGGCCATCCGGGTGATATGGGCAGTGGTTGCAGTCTTCATCGTGTGCCATCTTCCCTACAACGTGGTCCTCCTGATCCACACTATGTCCCTTTTTACTGAGAGAAGCTGCGAGGCGGAAAAAACCAAACTCATGATTTTGGCCACTTTCAGGAGCATAGCCTACCTCCACTGCTGCCTCAATCCCATCCTGTATGCGTTTATTGGAGTGAAGTTCAGGAGCCATTTCCAGAAAATACTGTCTGACCTTTGGTGCTTTAGTAAAATGTACCTCTACTCTGCTCGCTCGTCACGTGGGACTTCGGAAATGTCCAATTCAGGCCTGAAAGCCTCAGACGGTTCCAACATGTCATCCTTCAGTGCTTGATAGCCACAGAGTCCTCTAGTGACCTCTCATTTGTCCAGTACATTTATTTTATTGTACCCCCAAATGTGTTGGTTTGAAAGTTAATTAAATGCAGGTTATCCTAAAAAGATATTACCTGTTTAAATTAGTCCATCCCTAGCTTCATGAAGGAGCTTTGCTGATCATATATAAATCCATACCAGCAAAACCACCTAAGCCCCTTAAGTAGATCTTAGTGGGGTATCACTTGGATATTAAGATACCAATTGTACATAATTGAAACTTTTTAAGGACAGAATGCAATATTATTAAGTGTTAATATTCATAATTTTACATTAACCATTTTAAGGTTTGTTCCTATTTCCCACTGAACACATTAATGTTGTAACAATAATGGCCTTTTTGTTAGGATCCGGACTGGCACAATCTGCCCTATCAGTTGTAACTCCTATGCCTCTAAACATGAGTAACCTATTGAAATATATAACAGGCTATATGTGCAAACATATAGTAGATAACTAACTTTAATGTAATAACACACTGAGAAAACAACAACAAGCAACAATTACTATTGTGTCTCATATTTATCAAAATTCGCTCTTTGGGCTTGATTCGAATTCCAAAAATAAGTGAAGGGCTACTCTTAACCTTCCACCATGTTAAGCAGCAGCACCTAGAGCCCAAAGTGGAATATGGTTTATGTCAGTTGGGAACCGGCTTATATCAGTTACAGTAGAAAGTGGTTTATACCAGTTCTTAACCGACATATACTAGTTGCTAACCAGCATATGCCAGTTGGAAACTGGAAACCGGTTTAAGCCAGTTGGAAAAGGGTTTATGCCAGTTGGGAACCGGCTTATGCCAGTTGGGAACCGGCTTATGCCAGTTGGAAACCGGTTTAAGCCAGTTGGAAACCGATTTAAGCCAGTTGGAAACCGGTTTAAGCCAGTTGGAAACCGATTTAAGCCAGTTGGAAACCAATTTATGCCAGTAGGGAACCGGCTTATGACAGTTGGGAACCGGCTTATGCCAGTTGGAAACCGGTTTAAGCCAGTTGGAAACCGATTTATGCCAGTTGGGAACCGGTTTATGCCAGTTGGGAACCGGCTTATGCCATTGAACAATTCTTTAAGCTATTTAACATGCTTTCTAGACAGAATCTGTATCTAGTTTGAAACAGTTTCAGTCAGGCATTATGAGGAAGACAATTAATGACATGTTGGACCATTTTAGGGACTGATAGATGGAAGGGACCCCAAAAAAAAATTCATGTGTATTTTACCTCATTGATGTCAGCAAGATACTTGGCCAACTTTGGTTTTCCTTTATTGAGAGCAATGAAAGATGTTTTCTTATATCTGTATAACAGACGAAGGTTGTTAGAACCTGTTTAGCGTTTGCTGTCTAAGAGTATAAAATGACAATTATAAAATCCATATAAAAATCCCCAACTTAAAGTATGGCTTTTAAAACAAAACCTGGAGAAAATACTTATTTAAACCAGAATTATTAATGCTTTATTCTAAAATGTGTTAAGTGCTGTAGGTTTGAGAAGTATTTTTTTTTTTATTTCATATTTGTGCCATGTTAAGAATACTTATAACTTCTTGCCTAAAGTATAATTTGAGACACTTTTGTTGTTTTTTTCGGCTGACTTTTCTGTATATTATATTTTTGTGAATAAACATAACCTAAAAATGAAGTGCTTTATTATAAATGAATAGTCTAAATTGAAATTGAACTGTATTGTAACGGCAACCAATTTTAAATTTTTTTCTGAATTTTTATGTAAATAATTCCTGGGCCCCTATCTGTTTCCAAGGTTTAGAGTTAAAAAAAAATGCACTATTGATAAAATTTGCTGAATCTGTTTACACCTTTACCAAAAAAAAAGGGAAACATGTTGTTATATTTTCAGTTTAGCTTGAAAAAAGAAAACAGTAAAATAAATAAAACTTTTTTTTAATATGTGTGTTTTCATAACGCCAGTAAAATTCTTTTTATATAAATAGAAAACTCACAATTTGGATTTTAAAAAGCAAGACTACTTTATTTGTTTAAATTAGGAGTGTAAAAAATTTACTTTTTATATATTTTTATTAATATATGCAAATTTATTTTCAGTAGACATTCAAGTAATTAGTAGTTATGAAAAGTCCACAGAAATAAAGAAATAGACAAATGTCTTACTTTGAAAAACATAAAAAAAAATTAAAAAGACTGAAATATTGTCAGCCCTTAAAAAAAGAACTATATCTGATGATTTAAAAAGAGCACAGATCAAAAAGTAGAGATTACAGGGAAAGCAGAAGTAAGGTCGACAAAGTTCCAGGCAGAGATAAGGCTACAGTCTGAGTTTCTCAGACTGTAGCCTTATCTCTGCCTGACAGTGTATTTTTTCTCATGCTTCTTGCTGAAGCTATTTGAAGAAAAAGAGTTGAAACCTTTTGCATAGGGCACCAAAATGTGGATGGAAGGAACACACTCTTAGTGCAGCTTGCTGTCAATAGAGCACAGTGCCGTCAGCTGAGATTTTATGTCTTGAATGCTTTGGGCACGTGGGTAGTTTCACTTAACAACCACACATCCCTGTGGTTGGCACCGTGTTTTCACCACCATGGTATCTTTGCTTTATGATGTAGCTTCCTGAAAATGGAACCGCAATCCTTTTGAACATTGTAGATATGAAAATAAACATAAAGCCTTATTCTTTGCAGGTGAAAAGATGGCTGTGGGAAATATATAGACAGCCTTGTTCTTTTTTCTTCATCCACTGGGGGCCTCAGAGGGCTGTTTTTACTGTTTAGCCAAAGCTTCTAAGGAGTGATTGAGGGCAAAGGCAGTTCTAGAGAGGGGCCAATGGGGACCAGTGCCCCTGTAGATCATGTCCTGGCTCCTGTTTTGGCCCCTGTACTGTAGACATAATACTCTAAGTAATTCTAATGATGATATGTACTGGAACAGACATGGTTTCTGATCGGTCCTCTGGATCTATTTCATTTTTTTTTTCTTTACAAATTCTGTTTTACTAATTATTTAAAAACAATAAGGTGATAGCTTCAGTGGTATTGAGATAGGATCCCATTTTTCATTTGCTAAATGTTTTTTCAAAACAAATTTAAAACAAAATTTACAGCTGAATTTATCATTCTAAATCTGATTTTAAAGAAAACTGTATTTTTTTACTTAAAATATGTCAAAAATATGTAAAATTCATAAATTATGAATAGATATTGACCTGATAAGATATATAATTTTAATTAAACCTAACTGAATAGAAATTTCACTTCATGGAGCTCTCTTAATATATTTTAATCCCTTGCCCTGTTTTTTATTTCATACGTTTCTGTGCCCCCCATGAAAACACACTGGCTCCCTCCTGGCCCCCTGGTACATTTGGTCTAGAACCGCCACTGATTGAGGGTCACCTGAAACATGAGATTTTAAATCTAGTTATAATCAGCTACTGTATTTAAAAAGCACATAATACATTATTATTTTTTTCTTTTTATGTGTGACTCTTCAAATGTGAGATGAATAACTCTTTCAAAGTTGATCTGCATACCTACTGATAAGTTTGGTGGAATACCTGTGATGCTAGGCTCCTCTAGGAATATATTACTTTTCCCGGATATCACTGCTGCACTTAATTGTTTTCCATATTTATAGAGGATGAACACAATCGATGATGTGTAGCCATAGCTCCTGCACAGTGTTATATAACATTTGTTTAAGTTCTAAGAAGTCTGAGGGAAGGTTGCGACTAAATTAAATGCAAGTCATACTGTGACAGGGGTATAAGATTAGTTTACCAAAGAGAGGATGGGATAAGCTTTGAAAGTAATGTCATTGTTGCTTCCTTTTCTTTCCATGCATAACCTGTCTTACTGCATAATAATCCATGAGGTTGTGACATTGCCATGGAGCAGACTGCTATTGGGGTTTTATCCATGGTCAGACTTTAAGAACAGTGAAACCATTAAGGGTAAGTAACAATATACTAAGGTAATATCAAAGTTTTGCACTAGAAATTACCATATGTCAGTTTTTTTTCAGATTTTATCCATTAGAGCTAAACTATCCTGCCAACATTCAATAAGACATCCAGGTTGAAGTTTTTGAATCCATCCTAGCTAACAGATGTTTCATTTATAAAGATATTACAGCTTAAATTGAGTCAGTGATCATTTTGTGTTGTTGATGCCTAAGAAAAAAACTTTCTGTATTTTTATGATCTAGATCAGAGCTGATTAGGGGTCCTGGATGCAGAGGTTTTTGGGTCAGACTGCAGCTCCCTGATGTCTACAGAGGAATGCAGATCAGCTGATCTCTTGTTTGGTCACACTCTCAATTATCACACGTGTCCCTTATTTTTCCAGGACAGGCCACTGTTAGTCCTAATAAAGATAAAAAATAAAAAATTACGATCAACTTTTCTTTGGATAAACTCACAAATTGTTGGCATAATGCATAACAAACATTTTCTCATCTCTTGATTGTTAAACCTAAAAAAAGAGAACTTGTCAGGGTTCTATCCGCTGCTTGGGTTTATTTTTAGTTTCTTTGTGTTCTGTGTCTTTGTAGTTCTACCAGTGCTGAGTTGTTTAGTTCTTGTGTTACTCTCTGTTGCCCTCTTGTGTTTGTTTCCTTCTCCCTTGGTCCCTTCTTGTTAGCCCACTACAATCTGCTGATTAGCTTGTCTTGGTTCAGTCTGCCAATATATACCTCACCTCTGCAGTCACTCATTGCTGGTTTGTTGTGTTTTGTTGTTTCCCTTGTCTCTGGCTCCATATGTGAGTTTCCCTCATGTGTTTTTTTGGGTTCTTTGAATTTTTTCGGATTTTTCCACAGTATTTCCATTAAATCTGCAAAATTCACTTCTTTCTCTCTGTCTCTGCATTTGGGTCCTCAAAACCTCAACCCAACCGTGACAGAACTACTGTTAAACAGAATAACCATACAAACTGCTGACAATGGAAAACAGACAATTAAAATAATTATTTGAAAGACAATAGGAGCCATAAACTACCCTGCAGACAATAGGAGGCTCACAACCCAAAGACCACAACTATGAACTTTAAAACAGACCCAACAGAAGCCCCTGGTCCAACTATACCAAGTTCCATATGCATCAATTTCCTTACATTTTTTTTTTTTTTTTTTACATAATATTGCAGATTTTAACCAGTGACTGTGTCATGGGGTTTTTAACCGGATAATGTTCACACCCTTTCTTTAACTGCTTAAGTAAAGCCATGCACCTTACAAACCTTTTTGGTTTTTTATGTCAGAAACAAAAACAATACGCAGGAATCCATCTCATGACATATGCCACCTGCTGAGGGTCACAAATCTGCACAGCTGTCTTTTGTGCCCTGCAATGCTAAACCTATTTCCCCTCAATGGGGCTCCAATTCTCTCCCTTTCATCCGCCTCGCTCTGGAAATGAGAGTGACGTTCCATTAGTGAGGGGAAAGAATCCCCC